AAAAAAAAAAAAAAAAGGCACCGAAACAGTTACAGCTTGCCTATGTCCTAAGCCAATTCAAAATTGAAATCACCATATCCGCGCGCGAAAAGGATGATGCGGGAAAGGAAAGTCCTACGCCTATTCGTATCCTTACAAAATTCCGAGAGTTTTCCCCAACGCGACCGAGAACATTCACACACAAGAAGGACACGTCGAAGTTCCGCTTATCCCGAAATTCCCAACTGTCGGGCCCAATTCCCAGTGCGCTCGCTAAGGCGCACGTAAATTCCTATGCATTTCCCGAATTACAAAAAAAAGCAGAACCGAAGAATCACAAAAGCTTTCGGAAGATGGGGGCCAGAAACGCGGCGCCCGAAATCAAGAAATCGAACGGGGTCGGTATGATACAAGAAAAATTCAAACCAAAGGGGTACGAAAGATAACACGGGTTTGGGAAGTAGTACGTCACATATGTGACGCGCAGGGGGTTCCAAAATTATGCGATCTCCCGATTGCATGTCACGGCGGAGAAGGAGGGAGGGGGAAGAGTGATGCATGAGGAACCAAGCAAATAATCGAGCCAGAGTTCATGTTGACGCCAACTTCAATTGCCATCTCTTCGTAAGTCCATTGGCTTGTGCTGCTGGAATCGTCGGAGGTCGTCCAGGTGACGCCATCATCGTCCGCTGGTTCTCTGTGTACTCTGCACCCCGGCTCGTCACTACCTGTCGAATCAGAGCGTAGGTTGACGTCATCGTCGATGGAATGATCTTCGCGAAGCTTACTGAAACGTGTCGTTCTCCTCTTGTCAATTGGGTAAAGGGAGGGGATCGTCCCCGTGGCTACGCAGTAGACTTCTACTACGTAGTAGACTTCTACGCGAAAGAAATCGTAGTGGCGACAGGCGGTAGCGGGGATCGTCCCCGTGGCTACGCAGTAAACTTCTACTACGTTGCACTGCTCCCACGCAGCGCTGAACAACAGAATATGCAGACAGAACGTGGGGGCAGCGGACTGAAGGGAGCGGTGAAGTAGACGGTAGCGACTAGGCGCGTAGAGTAGAAATCACGGAAGAGATGGGGATGGAAGGGGTGGCGGGGGAAGGTGACAGGGGTGTAGATCAGCTCGAGGGTGAGGTAATCAAGGGGATAACGGGATAAGGTCCGGGGATGAAGGCCTATCCCCCGCATCGGTACGTGGACGAACTGGGGGACGGGTAGGGCTGGAGGGGGAGGAGGATCGGCTCCGTCTCCGCCATGAGGTGCTTGGGGCGGCGGCTGCTGGGTCGCCATCTTCGGGCTTCGGCGGCTCCGGATCCCTGGTTGGATCGTCACCGATGCGCAGGCTTGCTCCGCTGGCGAACTCCAGCTGGCGTTTCCCAGTGGCACTTTCTTTTCGCTTGCGCGCTGCCTCAGGATCTTCTGCCTCCGTGTCAGTACGCGTCGCTTCCTCTGGCAAGGCTTCCCACTCAGACCCGGTTTCTTCTCCCTCTTCTTCTTCTTCTTCTTCTTCTTCTTCTTCTTCTTCTTCTTCTTCTTCTTCTTCTTCTTCTTCTTCTTCTTCTTCTTCTTCTTCGCTCTGCTCGCCCTCGCTATACTCGCTAGAGCTTCCCTCTTCCGATGTCTCCTCGTCGTTGTCACTTTCCTCCTCTTCTATCGCCTCCTCCTCCGCCTTTGGATAGAAAGCGTGATTGATGATGCCGTATGGCTTCAGATACTCCTGCCGCGACGATAGAGAGCCTTCGTCCCCAGGCTCTTCCAAGCATGCAATCCACTGAAGATACGGGTCCAACGTTCGCGTGAGCACGTGCTGAGCAGGGCTGTCGTCGCTTTGCGAAACGGAGCCAGGAGAGAGATCGTCCGCCAGTTGCACGATCGGCACGATGAGTTCTTGAGCGATCAGCGCGATGTTCCGGCCGCACCGATCCGAAGAGAAAACCGAGGAGATCACCTTCCACGTTGGTCCTCCAAGCTTGTATGATCAGCAATTCCAAATTTTCGAGACGCGCGGAATGCTCGCTGGTCCGCGTCCACGTCACCTGCACTTGAGCCAAACACACGGACAGTTCGACAAAGGTCTCGCGCCAAAGTCGCCAATGCCCGGGATTAAGAAGCGGGACAGAGAAGGGGTTCGATCGAGAGGGAAAGATGAGGATGAAGATCCGACTGCTAGAAGGTAGGGAAAAGAGAGGGGAGACCAAAGATGGAGAGGGGAGCGAGGGGGGTGGCGTAGTTCATTGGGGGCGTGGGAAAGCAACGGGGGTGGGGATCGCAACCGCTGACTCGCGCGGAGAGAGGCGGACCCCGTCAAGATCAGGTGCAAAGGTCGGGATGAGATTGTGCCCTAGTCTGGCAAGACCGTGCTGCCACACGTTGGACACCTGCTCCATCCACTCACGCAGCGAGGTTAAGATCGCTGTATGCCACAGTGGATTGACCGTACTGATGTCGCCGCTGAAAACCGCGACCGTAGTGACGTGGCTGGTTCCGGGAGCTGCTCGCCGATGTACCGCTACCACTTCCGCCAACACTATTACCTGTCGACTCCCTTCGAATCGAAACGCGGCGGCTGCACACACACCTACGTTGCAAAAGAACTGTGCCACGCGTCGAAGATCCGTATTAAGCCGTGGATGACGAACTTGCCGAATTTTCGAGATGTGGCCACGTGGCTGCAGCAGTTGATCATCAAGAGCCCGCTCCGTAATGAAGCTCGTGGCGAGGACGGAGAGGAAGACGAAGGGCAGGAGGGAGAGAGCGGAGAGAGAGTTAGATCGTCGTCGTTCTCCTCGCCTTCAGAGGAGGGAGAAGGGGGAAGATCAGAGGGAGGGAGAGGTCGGAGGTAGGAGGTATGTCAGATGATGGGGAAAGAGCTATGGCTGGCACTTGCCTAGGGCGCGATGCGCACCGTGTTAGCGTCGTTGGGTCCGAGTTCGACAACGCGAAAACAGCCAGAGAACTTGGGAGCGAGTTTTCGATCGCGTGCACATTTACGTACCTGCACTAGGTCCCCTAATTTATATTGATGCTGGGGCCCAGCATTCCCATTTCGAGCCTCATAGCTACGGACCTGCCTACCGTGGGCCAGATCGGTCATCCTCTGTCTTTTTCGAGCTAGCTTCAGGACGGCCCGTTCCATTAAATCGGTATACCTTTTGGCCTTGGCCTTGAGGTCGGCACACGTGTCTCTGCCCCCTGCTTTGGCAATTTCCGAGTTACCCCGGTAGTCGACACAGGGGAGGCTATTAGTCTGAAGCTGAAAGGGGGTGAACCCCGTGGACTCATGAGGGGTGGCCCGGTGAATTCCGACGATCTGATACACGATCTCGGGCCACGGACGCGTGTCATGTGCCGCTAAATTCCTGTGAAGGGCGGTCTTAATCATACGGTTGGCATTTTCGGCCAACCCATTCGACTAAACACGTGGGGTGTCGTATGTCGGAGCGTGATGCCCCTTCGCGCGAGCAGTTCCTCTACTTCGCCTTTGAATTCGGACTCATTGTCGGTCAGAATTTCTTCCGTATCTAGATGGGTATAGAGGAACCGATCGATGTACGTGGCTATTTCTGCGGCCTTGCGGGTCTTGCAAGGGTAGACCTCGATGTACTTGGAAAAATGGTCTATTAATACTAAAAGGATGAAATATTCACAGCGGCTTGGGCTAGGTGGCACGTTAATATCTGTCGTGTCCATACTAACTCGCTGGAAGGGGCGCTCTACTTTCGTTGGTACTATCGTGTTTGGTCCTCGTATTGGGGCGCGATCAGCGGCACAGACCAGACAGCTGGCGACAACGTATATGACATCATCTCGTATCGGTTCTGGTCTATAGTTGCCTCTGTGACAAGTATCGCGAAATGAGCGGCCTGCTCTTCGTGATCAGATCGGGTCCAATCATATCTCCGGAATGGATGAGGAACTGTCAGCCACGAACCCGATCCGTCTGTTTTACGCTTTTTCAAATGACCGTTGATCCATCGATAGTCCCGAGATCTCTCGGTAGCCCTACGTCTGTCGTGTTTGGTGAGGTGACCCAATGATAATCCCGCTAATTTAGCTAATAAAATTTTATCCGTCCAAACCTCCGCTCGACGGTATTTCTCATCATATTCAGGTCCGTCCGTTCGGGAAGCCTCGAATCGAACCTCTGTGGGAAGTTTGGTCGTTCTACACAGAGGGCACCTCCACTCCTTGCTACTCGTCCGATAGCGAACGCAAGCCCCGTGCGTACGATTGACACAAGTGGCACATTCTACCCAATCGACAAACCTGGTTTCGAAAGGATGACAGTCAAACCCATAAACCCGTGCAATACATGTGCAAAAATAGCAGAATTTATCGGGGACGGTGGCAAAGAAGGCGGAGGAGGTGAGAGGGGCAAAATTAGTAATTTAGTAGGAGAAGAGGGGGTCACAGTGACGGGTGGGGTGGTCATGATGGCAGAGAGGGAGAGATGAGACTGAATTGCAGAGGGGGCAAAACAAAAGAATGGACCCCGTGTCACTTACTCCTTTGACATGATCTCCACTTGGCCGTACCGAGGTCCGTTCTCCTCCTTCGGTTCGTTCCACGGAATCACCTCGGAGTCCTCATTCTTCGGAACCTTCTCAGATCGGGTACATCGCCTACCAATGGTTCGGCCTCTTGTTTAATCAAAGCGATGGTCGCTCCCATCGTTAACAAAGATCTTGGTGGGAAAACAGAAATATCCACATATTGTTCTGTCTATTGGTATTGTTTTCGTAAGGAAAGCGTTCCCTCGTACAAGGTGCGAGGGGGTTCCAAATCATCTGCTAGGTAAGATACTTGCAGGATGGGTTCTTCGAGGAGGGTTGAAGGACTGATCCGGGTTTCTAGAGGCGCGAGAGGGCCATCTTCCGAATCCACGCGGAAGCTTCGGGCGGTTCTCGGGCACACTCGAAACTCTTCAGGGATTTCGTGCTCGAAAAGTTCGATCAAGTGTGTCCATTCATCCTCACTAGGCATTTCTTCTTCATACACCTGTTCCCCGATTCCGCTACTGATATTCGAGGAAGAAGGTTCCTCATGATCGAGGCCTTGAATCATCCCTACTTGGGCAGAGTTAGGAGTTAGTTTTATCGTCCGGGTGGAAATCCGCAGAGGGACAGTCTGAAGCTTTCCCCCAGTTTGCGTGAGCACCAATTGCTTAGAGTCGAAATGCAGACGAGCACCCACCGCCATCGCCCAAGGCAATCCTAACAACACAAAATAGAAGCGCACATCTATTACTATTGCGTTAACAAGGACGTGTACTCGTCCGACCTTCACAGCCACATTCTCAAGAATACCCACGATGTTCATTGCTTCCTCGTGGGCAGAGACATAATTGTCTTTGCTAGATTGAGGAAGAATGGATCTGAGTCGTCCTGTCTTTCTTACTGTGTCTAAAGATATGGCCACTGCGGAAGACTCAGTATCGATAAAGGCGTTAAACGGTTTGCCCCAAACTTCACAATTGCACTCAACGCTTTTCCACAACATTGGTCGAGCTCGTACGAAGTAATCCTTTTCTACCAATGAAATCGCAGCTACCCGTGCTGCTTCGGGTTCACCTGTTTCAGGTTCAGGTGGCGCAACCTCCTCGCCTCCTTCCTTCTTCTTCAACATTCGCTGTACTCGCTGGTACATGAAGCGCTTTTGGTTTTTTTGGCAATATTGCAGGAGTTTATCGTTAGCTGCTTCGGAGATGGTAAGTAAATGCCCCACCGGGATCGGAACACGGATATCTAGCTGCTTAAGCGCTCGTAATACATCAATTTCTCCCGTCCGAAACTGTGGATCGGGATTGGATTCGCGATCGACCCATTCAAAATCATCATGGGCCGATCGGATAGCTCCGAACATGCCGGCGAGATGAAGATACTCGAGTGGATCGACCACATCAGCAGCGTCGGAGGAGGAAGAAACTCCCGAGGTAAAAGCAACAGCCGTTGAGGGGGAGGGTTACTCATATGCAACAAGTTCCCCTCCTTGGGCCGTGTCCATTAGTGCGGCCACTCGTCCTTGGTTCAGAGCTACAGGGGCCGCGGCTGGTGGGGGTTGATTACGTTTCGGCTACGGACAGTCACGGGCAAAATGTCCGGGCTGTTTGCAGTTAAAACACTCGACCTTTCCTGCTGGATTAGTTGGGTGAGGGAACTGCGGGGCTATGTAACACCTGCGGACGCATCCGCGGGGTCGAGCTCGGATTGCAGACCCAAATGGGCCCGCATCCCTGGCCTACCTGGTCCGCACCTCGGACCCGATTTTACACGAAATTTCATGAATTAAATAATAGGTAAATATATATATATGGGGTTGTAGGGAATTTTAAGCCCTACAACCCCACAGTTTTTGTTTTTGAATCCGACTTTGTTTAGGATTTTTTAAAAATCAAAAACGAAATTAGATTTAAAAAAAAATTAAAAAAAAATAAAGAAAAGCAAGAATTTTTTTTGGTCATTTTTTATCATAAGATATACGGTCCGTGAGTTTACCTATATTTTTTTAGAAATGAATTTATGTTTTTTGCAGAAGTATGAGGTGTTTTGAATAAATGCAGATGCAAAAAAAAAAAAAAAGAAAAAAAAAAGGGTTTGATTGATTGATTGATTGATTGATTGATTGATTGATTGATTGATTGATTGATTGGTGGTGGGGGAGGAGTCGCCCCACCTCCCCGCCACCCACCACACACATACAC